TTTTTTAAGCAGAAAAATAACAGTGCCTCAAGAGCATAGATAAATATTAGAAACAGTAGTTTTCAGAATGTTAACTTCATTCACATACATCACATTTTTTGTACTCAGTATATGAGTTACTCTAAATTAATGAAAACATGCAATATTTGTATTTAGGGGACAGGCTTGTTTCACTAAGCATAATGGTTTCCAGGCACAACTACTTTTTTGCAAAACACAGAATCGCATTCCTTTTTGTGGCTGAGTAGTACTCTGTAGTAGTGTGTGTACCGCATGTTCCTTATTGCATTATCATTTGGTGGACATCAGGGTTGATTCCGTATCTTAGCTGTCATGAATTGGGCTACATGAGTAGGACAATTCAGAGAACTCTTTCGTGTGCTGATTTCATTTCCTCTGGGTAAATTCCCAAAAGTAGGATATGTGGATCATATATCTATTTTGAGATCTCTAAGGAATCTTCATCCTGTCATCCATAGCGATTTTACTAGTTAATACTCCCAGCAGCAGTGAATTAGGATCGATTTTTCACCACATCCTCACCAGCTTTCTTGTTTTCTTTTTCTTTTTAGATTATAGCAATTTCACTTGGGTTCAGGTCAAACTGCATTGCGGTTTTTATTTACATTTCCCTGCTGGCTTATAAGCCTGAGAAATTTTTCATGTGTCTATTGGCCATTTGAATTTCTTGTCCTTTGTACACTTCTTAGCTGGATTGTTTGTTTTATAGTTGTTGAGTTCTTGAACTCTTTATAAATCATGGGTATTACATAATTTCAAATGTTTCCTCTCATTCTATTGTTTGCCTCTTTGTTGAGTAATTCCTTTGCAGTACAAAGCTTTGTAGTTTAATATAATCCCATTTGTCTTTTCTTGCTTTTGTTGCCTGTGCTTCTGGGATTGTCTCACAGAGCTTCCCTCTAGTAATTTGTTGATAGATTTAGATGATTGATCCATCTAGATTTGGTTTTGTGTAAGGTAGAGATCTAGTTTAATGCTTCTGCATGTGGAGATTGGATTTTCCCAACAGCTTTTGTTTAAAAGACTCTTTTCTGCGGGGGTTGATTTTTATCTTGTTTTCTGAGGATTAGTTAGTTGTAGATATCTGAATTAATTTATAAGTTTCTGTTCTGGCTTATTGGTCAACATGTCTAATTGTGTGCCAGTACCAGACTGTTTTGATTACAAAAATCCTGTAGAATGTCTTGAAATGTGGTATTGTGATGTGTCTGACTTTGTTTTTATTGGTTAAGATTGCTGTAGTTATTTGGACCTTTTCTGTTTCCATATGAGTTTTGGCATTGGTTTTTCTAAAACTGAGAAGAATGTCGTTTTCTAATAGCTTTGTGAATGGTACCGCTTTTTTTTTTTTAAGCTTTAGCTATGGCACGTGGGTAATGGAGACAGAGATCTGTTGGGTCAGGTATAGTAATTTACAGTACCTGGAAATCACTACAAGTATTGTTCACAGTAATTTGTATTCAGGAATTTATAGTGCCTTGTAAGAGATGCATTGACTTTGTTTGGAACTGGCAAAACCAAGGCACTGAAAAGAATAAGTTGACTAGGGACTCATTCTCAAGTAACTACAAGACTAGCCTTCTTTGTGACTCCAGGCCAGTATTTTTATGGTTGTTGTCCCAAGTAGCCAACTAATTGGTTATGGTGGATTTTTTTTTTTTTAATTTTCTTAGTCCTTTTTTGCATCTAAGAGTCTGTAAAGAGTGACTTTAAAAGTTTAATTTTTAATTTTCTGGCATAAAGCATAATAATTGTAGGATACTGGAAAAGCTCTCAATTTAAGGCTTCTAAATATTTTAAAATTTGAAAAAAGAAAGGAAGAAGAATTATAGTCAGGAATTCAAATGTAGGTTTAGTTTTTCAATCAGAAGATGATGTTGACTATTGAGACCACTGATGAAGATGTGTTATTCCTGAAAAGGATTTACAAAAGTAAGGACACAGCAGTCATTGGGAATTGCATGGATTCACTAACAGGCCAGTTTTGCTGCTTGGGCAGTCTCATGAGACTATATGATACATGAAATTCAAAAATCATAACAACTCATTTTGAGCTTCGCACATTGGAATTTATCTTCTCATGTACTGTATATAACTGGATCAATAACTGAGTGAATAACAGCATCCAATAGGTGATTGATGTCTAACTGAAGACATATTGCTAGTAGTATATGACAAATTGCGGTCTTCCACCTTAAAATAATTTTTATCAGATATCTCTATAAAGGTTCTGATTAACAGTTTTCAAAGGGAGATGGGAAATGCATATGAAATAATCATGTAACCAGGAAAATAAAATGATGTAAAATCATTTCCAGGCATCAGTAAGCTGATGTATAGAGAACTGCTTAAGTTTAAAAATTACAAAATCAAAGTATCAATTGAGAGGAATGTGATTCGATTCTTTAAATTCGTTAGATTTTCTTGGTAGACATTACTCTTGGACATAAGAAGTAATAGTTGTGTGAAAAACTAAATAAATGCATTCCCTTCCCAGTAATTATGTAGATTATTAAAGCTTTTATCAGTATTTATATCATGTTCCTTCAGAGTGATATACCTGAAGATAAATTGGAACTATATGGAGTGCTTTTAATTAAAGTATGTTAAATATTATAAAATGTGAAATACAGGTGAACTCATCAGTTTTATTTTATGATGCATTTGCCTAATTTTAACCTAGTAATTCTCTTTCCTGTTTTCATAACCTTATTGCAAAAATTATTTTTAACTTAAGCAATTACTTAGCTTTGTTAGATATTCATACTTTTCAGAGAGATAATAACATGAATATATATACATCTCTCTTTTTCCTCTGAAAATATGTTATCCACTAAAATATAGACTCACTGAGTTTGGAGACCTTCATTGTTCTATCTCTAGCAAATAGGATGTGGCCAGCATCTTAGTGTTGTTACTCAGTAAGTGTCTATTAAAGAAATCATCATTTTGACTGTCTCCCAAATATTCACTCTATATATTACAATTTGCTGTTATCTCTCATCAATATCAAAAGAATGGTTTGACACGAGGTAAAATGATTGTTAATAATTAACAATCATTAAAAAGGCTAGCTCAACTTGAGGTATACCTTATCCTTTGTATGTTATCTGTGCTGAAGTACGCAGTAATAAGAGTGAGGATATCCATTGAGTAATAAATATTATAAAATAATCAAAGTATTCACAGTAGTTGCTCTTATATGTCACAACTACGTGGCCATAAATGAAGAGGTTTGTGGGGTCGCATTGTGGCACAGCTGGTTAAGCTCTGCCTGAGACTCTGGCTTCTCATATCAGGGTGTCAACTCATACCTGTTGTATTGCAACATGGCTTCTTCCAAATAGAGTTGGGAAGGCTGTGGAAGACGGCCTAGTGATTGAGCCCTTGCCACCCCTTTAGGAGACTCAGGTGGTTTTCACCCTCCTGGTCTCAGGCCTGGCTCATCTGTGGGTACTGTGATGATTTGGGAATAAGTTAGCAAATGAAAGATCTGTCTTCCATGACACTCTGCCTTCCAAGTAAGTTTTTAAATGCATGAAAAATTTTACTGGATTCTTTTTTTCAGCTCTTGAATTTCTCATGCATTTTATTCAATAATTTTTTTTTTACTTTTTTTTGAGAGAAATGTTTTTTGATTTATTTTATAGTCAGAGGCCCAAGGGCTCCACTAAAGAAAGAAGTCAACAAATAAAAAGTGAAAAAAGAACACAGTCCAGCAAGAAAATAGGCAGAGATACAAACAATAATAAAATGAAAATATGTTCAACTTTACTCATAAAAATTTTACACCAATCACAAAAAGCTGCAGTAGTATGTAATTCTTATTAATATATTTAACAGAAGTTTAAAATAATTTGACAAAAGCCTAACTGCAGCAAAACTGATGCACGCAGGCATTTCTTCTCTACTTTGTTGTTGTTGCTGCTGTTAATTTTAGTTCCCACCTAGAAAAGGAGAACATGTACCATTTGACTTGACTCCTCAACATGATGTCTTCCAGCTCCAAGCATTTTGGATCAAATGATAAGATTTCATTCCTTTTTTGTAAATTAATGATTTCCTCTGCACGTGTGTAATAACTCAAACAGCTGATAGTTTTGGTGCATTGTCATGTGAAATATTATAGGACATAGTAACAGCTCTTAACAAGGAATCTGAATGCTCTATTTCCAGTCTTCATTCTATTATTGAGTTATCTGACCTTCAGAAAATCCCACTAACCACCATGGCTCTTAATTTCTCCATCTGTAAAATTAGATGGGGAATAGAAATGAATTTATAGGCTATGGCAGGGTTGGAAGGCACAGTGTTCATAAAGAGATTAGCACAGCATTTAGCACACTACAAATAAGAAAGGCAAGCTACTTCTGCTACAAGTAAGATCTGTTTCAGCGAGGCAAAGAGTGTATCATTATACCAGAGTATTATGTTAATGCAAAAATAAAATATTGTGTCACAGAAATTCAGCCATGCAAAGCCACAGGCAGCACTAGGAGCGAAGGGCCCCATTTCCCATTCTGTCTGTTCCCTTTTTAATGCTACCTCAACAGGATATGAAAATGTTGTTGGACTAATGAACTATCAGCACAGTGTAATCTGAATGACTAGCCTTCCAGGAAGAAGAAAGCAGACTAATGAGTAAAATAAAGTTTGCAAAATATGAAAAAAAAAATCCGGCCTTATTGCTTTAACGTAAATGGAGCCTGCCATGTCTTGTATCTGCTTTTGAATAGAATAAGAAATGAATTACTTTTTATGAGTGTTTTTATCATTTTATCTTAAGTGTCAAATTGTTTTTATCTACTTAACTACATTTTTACACCATTAAGAGATGGACTTTTCTCCCCATATATAAATGTATCTCAGGATATGAGATTTGAACAAAATTTCAGAGTTTATTACAGTTTATCATGATGTTGATGGTTATCTGAATTATGTGCTGTTGTGTTTGAATATCCTTTGTTTTGTGTCCGTAGAATGCTGAAATTTCTGTTTTTGAAGTAAATATTCGCTTTGTTGGCGGACTACTCTCAGCCTACTATTTGTCTGGAGAAGAGGTAAGATGCAAAGTGATGTGTAAATGCCAAATGTCCTAAGTTTTAGCTCTTGTAAATATGTCTTTTTGATATAATTAGGAAGAAATCCATTTTTTACTGTCACATTTTATTGGACTTGTGGTTTACATTGAATTTTTTATGATGTATACTAATTAAGTGAGCAAGATCAGGAAACTTTGACAAAAGTCCTTTTGGGGATGTTAGGTAATGACTGAAAAAGCCTGGCACCATTGTGTTATGTGTGATGTGATTAACTGCAAGTTTTATATATATATATACCTGGGGACAAATTAAAATAAGTTAGTGGAGTAGCGGGTTTACAGATGAATTTTTCTCTTAAAATTATGTTAACATCAGTATAATGTTAGCTTAATAAAAGCATGACAATGAAGAATGCACAGCAGGGAAGCCCTAGAGTGTTACTGAAGATTCCGAGTGAATGGTGCACTCAGGTTTCCACTGAACTCTGACACACACAGTATCCCTGTACAAAGTGCTCGGTGATCTTCCTGAGTGAAGGCTTGATAAATTACCTGCTGTTTAGAACACAGCAGAAAATTTTAGTTTAGGTCCCTTTTATTAATAGATTAAGAAAGAATTTTTGTATTATGCTCCTAAAGGGTATGAGTGCTGTTTTCTTAAAAGGTTTTGGACAACTTTATGAATAACATATGTGTCCACTGAGAACTGCTAGAGTGGACCTCAGTAAGTGTTAAAAGCTGACATTAAGGAAAAACAGTCATGCATTTCAGCTGTGTGACAATCAGATTTGTGTTAGCTTCACACTCTAGGCAAGGAGAGTGGCTCACACCCGTGGTAGTATTTCATGTGTCTGCTCTCCTTCAAATGGATTTAAGCAGAGTAATAAATCTTCAGTGAGGAAAGTTCCTCGCCATTGTTCCCGTCTCTTAGGTACTTTTCTAACCACAGCAGAATAGTCCTCTCAGTCTTACATTTTCTTTGTTTCACTGTGGATCTTTGTAAAATATGTGGATGGCTTCTGTATTTGCCTATTTCCATTCTAAGTGTTAAACTCTATCATCATGATCTTTGTCACCTTCCTAGGAAAGGTAATCAGACACGCTGGCACGTTACGATTCGTCCTCCCTTTTTCCAATCCAAAACCATTTCATTTGTCCAGTCGCTTTACAATATTTGAAGCATTGAGCTAAGAGATTTCTCATTTTTTAAAAGTCATCCTTAAAATTAACTAGTGCTGTAGTGTTAGCATGTTTATGCTTTTCAAGCACTTTGAGTAACCAGCACCTGAGCATTCTCATTTTGACACACTATATTGATTTTCACTTTCTCCATAATGGAGAAACTTGAAGGGAATCAGCACTGCGTCTTCTACAGCAGAGCCTACCAATAGAAATAAAAATATATTTTGTATAAATATGTACATAATCATGTGTTTATACAAATGTACATATATAATCGATTCTATGTATCCATATATATATACTACTGGGAGATGTTATAGACAATCTGTAGACAATCTGCCTAAGATTTTATAGCATTTTAAAAATATACATTTAGCTAATTTAAATAAGAAGCAGCTAAGAAATTTTTTTCTGTGATGTTTGCTCTGATGGTAACACATGCGGCCATTGTTTTATTACACCTAGGCGTTCTGCACTTTATTTTGTTAATATGTTATTTTCATTTTATATTCTTTTTAATATATTTATAAAACATTTAATTTTATTTCATAAAGCTGTTTTTTTTCTTATCACATGTTTTCCTATGGGTTACCTAAATGTTTACAATTTGATTATATCTAATATTTCCATATTTTGAATAATAGAATCATTCTGTAAATATTCTCTAAAGTATTGCCAAGTGAAAAGTGACAAGTACTAATTCCTTTAATTTAGTCTGCATCTGTCTCGTAGTTATCTTGTCACTGACAGTTGTCTTTCAGTTGACTAAGGCATTCAGGAGAATTGTCTACGAGGCTTATGATCAGGAAACATTATTTTGCCTTAAGTCTCTGAGTAACATATTTATCTCCCTGTCAAGATGAAAAAAAAAAAAGAGAGAGAACAGTTAACACTAGCATGACCAAAGTATAAATTGTATGTATTGGCTTCAGATTTTTGATAAAGTCCAAGACCACACACTTCCATGTATATCAAAGGATTTAAACAGCTATCAACATTGATCTTAAATTATTTCATAGAGGCACTGCAAAACCACTACAATTTATCATTCCTGTGTCATCTCCAAAGTTTAGGAGTGCTTCAAGAACATTTTGTGAATCACCTTCAGAAGTATGTACACTTATGGGAGAGTATATGACATAGGGGGTTATGCAGATTCCAGGGTCAGCTATTCTGGACTTCAATCTACATTTGTGTTGATGTGCCTGAAAGGCAGCAGATCGGAGACCGAGCTTCTTGGGTCGCAGCAACCGACATGGGAGACCCAGATGGAGTTGCTGGATCCTGCTTCAGATGGGCCTGAGTGCTGTGCATGTTTAGAGAGTGAACCACTGGATGAAATACTTTCCCTTCCTATTTCTCTATGTCTGTGTTTGTCTCACTGTGCCTTTTTTCCCCTTAAAAATGTATTTAATTTTGATAGAAAAGGCAGATTTACAAAGAAAAGGAGTGGCTACAACAGCCAGAGCTGAGCCCATCCAAAGCCAGGTGTTTCTTCTGGTTCTCCCACGCGGGAGCAGGGTCCTGAGGCTTTGGACAATCCTCTACTGCTTTCCCAGGCCACAAGCAGGGAGCTTAGTGGGAAGTGGAGCAGCCAGGGCATGAACTGGCTCACATATGAAATCCGGTGCATTCAAGGCACAGATTGAACCACCAAGCCATTGAACCAGATCCACTCTGCCTTTCAGATAAATCAGTAGACATTATTTTTAAAAGAAACATTTAAAGTTGCATTGACTGAATTTCAAAATCGTTAAGTATACATTGCATAAAAGCAAGAGAAACTACTGATTTCTATAACATGCTTCAAGAAAATTACACATAGAGCCATTTGCTGCAGGAGTACCAGCAGAACTCTAACCTGGTCAAAGAACAGTAGAGTCAGTACCTGCAGTAAACATGGATTGCAGGCAGATGTTTTAAAATATAATACTTTCTATCCTAGCTCATTTAAAATATTTGCAGTATCATCAAAAATGATTAACCTTCAACTTTTTAAAACTGTGTAAGAAGTCAACAGAGTCACAAACACATAGAATGGAGATAAGGGTTAATGCTACGTTGAGGTGATTTGGTATTAATACATTTAATTTGTCTACAATAAGGGTAGGGAAACTGAAGTCCTTACTCATGGGGGACAGTAAGTATAGCAGCATCTAAAATCTCACCAGCAGTCTCCTTTGATACAGTGGGATCAATCTGTGTCTGAATATGTAGTAAGTTTGGGAAAAGCTGCATCCTGCAGTCTATCTTGGAAATTCACAATGCCAGAAAAAGAATGTAATTGCATTTTATTGATCCTGTGTTTTTTATTTTTGCTTCACTACACCACTGTGGTTTGCTTTTTGTGTGTATTTTTTTTTTGTCTTGTTTTTTTTTTTTAATGTAATATAACTTACACCAGGTTAGTATATTGGTGCTCCAGAACAAATTTTGGGAAGTGTCATTCTGTACAGAATAAGAGTAACCAGAAAAAATAGAACTGGAAATGTACTAATACAAAATACAAATAAGTAACATAAACTTGAGAGATTATAAGAGATGATAACACACAGGCTAGAACATTATGAAAATAGTATGTAATATTACTTGCTGTACAATAAAACCCAATAGCTCTGTTGAGCAGCATTTAATAAGAGAAAGTGAAGCCAAAACAATTACACATAGCTGAAGAATAACCAGGACCTGTAACCACGAGATCTCCTAGAATTAGTCGAAAATTTCTTCTACCCTTGTCTTATTTTGCTCAAGACACAGAATCTCTGCAGAAAGTCTAATTGACATGGTTTCAGTTATATGCAGCTACTTAAGGTTGTATGGGAATGGATGAAAGGGTCTGAAAGAAGTCAAACAGAGTTTGAAATCAGTATCCCATGAAGGCTAAGCATAAGAAAACTGGGCACTTAGGAAATGAAGGCCCTGGTAGAAGGGTAGGGTGAGTGGGTTTCCACTATGCATCTGCTATTTTAATGTGGGTGTCAAGAAGCATAGATCTTTATAGAAAGGTAGCATTTCATTAAATACCTGGGGAAAACTACCTAATTTGAAAAGATAATCTGCATTTCATTTTGAAAGCAGCAAAGTGGTTTTTCCCTTATCCCCCCCATCCTGTGTTCCATACACCAGGAGAATGTGCTGAGAGAGATTATTGAGTACGAGGAGTAGCTGATAGCACCAAATATGGACTGCTAGGGCAAGGAGTACATGCGGCGCTCAGCGAAATGGGAAGTGGGATAAGGTAGAGAATGTGAGTTTATTGGTACAAAGATGTGTTATATTTTGTTTTTTTTCAAAGAGTGCAGACATTTGGAATGTTTGGATCAGTGTTTGTTTAATGATGGATAATCATAAGAGTATTTGGAAATCCTCTTAAAATTAAGCTATTTTGATGTCATTGCTTTTCAAGCTCGATGTCAGCCACAATCCACCAGAGAAAGACATCTCCCAGACTGTCTCCTGCCCCAGTCTGAAAAATAAATAAATAAATAAATTGAAATAAAAGTTAAAATGACTTACAGAATATGTGCTTGATGCAGACAGAGTTATGGAAAAGCTGAAGATAAAGTCAAGGTATATTAAAGTTACAGGTAAATTGCCAGCTTATAAATCATCGGGGTCTTGTGCTGAAATATGCCCTCAAGAATTCTAGTGACCAGACTAAAGAAACGGAGGATTAATAAAATTGGTTTTGTTAGTGCTATGAACACTGAGCATTTCATAATACATAATGAGTAACATATTATGTATATGAAATAAATTTTCCATAAAACTTACAATTCTTCAACTACATACTATTGTATAAATAGTAGAAGCTGACATAGCCTTGAATCTGATTTC